GTAAGTACTTGCAAAAGGTACATAATTTTAGCTGCAAGAAACACGTTGCATAGAGCTGACCGAGAGAAAATTAATAAGCAACGACCGCCCCATCCTTCGGCATTCGCGTGCAGTTCTTCAGCCTTTTCAAGCCAAAATGCTTCACTGTCTTGATACCTGTCCAATGGTACCCCTAGGTAACGTCTAGGTGTCGTTAGCCACTGAATATTTCCAAAAGAACTGGGCGTGAGGTCCCAACTACCATACCATAAACCAATGCTTTTCTCTTTGTTCATTAAACTTCCACTCGTGTCACAAAACCTTTGAGTGATTTCTAATAACAAAGTGACACTCTCTCTATCAACAGCAAAAAAGGCAATATCGTCGGCGTATGCCAAAACACGCACTTCTCATGACTGCAACCTGAAACCATTAATCCCTGTGTGGTGAATAACTTTTTGACACAGTGGCTCCAAAAATAGAGCGAAAAGCAAAGGACTTAAAGGACACCCCTGGTGCACGGAGGAAAGTACTTGTATGCGCTGTGAGAGTTCTCCATTTACAATTAAATTTGTGGTTGAACTTTTGTATGCCAATCTAATACCTTTACATATGATCGCACCAAGACCAACGTACTCAGCTAGCGTGAAGAGTATATTGTGTGGAACCATGTCGAAAGCCTTGGCTAGATCAATTTGCAACATAGCTACTTTTAGAAACGCAGCGTCACAATACTCCAAAATGCTCCGGGCAACGTGAATATTCGTGAATATGCTCGTCTGATGTGACCCGACCAACTTGTGTATAACTCCTTGCAACCTACTAGTCAGAACTTTCATAAACACCTTATAATCTACGTTTGTTAGTGTGATTGGCCTGTATCCTGTCACTTTGCGTAAAACATGTTGCTCTTTCCCTTTAGGAATCAGCACAGTGTGCGCCCGATTAAACGATGGAGGCAGAGCTCCGAGATCTAAAGACTCAGAAAAAACCTCATGCGATGCGGCGGCCATATCCTCATTGAACGCCTTGTAAAAGGCACCACTGATGCCATCTGGACCAGGTGATTTGCCTATGCCAAGATCATCGATAGCCTTCTCAATTTCCTCTATACTAATAGACATTTCCAATAAATTTGTGTCCTCAGCATGAATTAAGTGTGACATTTCTATCAAGAACTCATCTACAAAACCCGGCTTCATTGTTTCGCGATATGCAAACAAGTCTTGATAGTAGCAGAGTCATTCAATGCTTTAAGTATTAAGGGACTGTGATAGTAGCTACCTACCACAGAACACTGCGCCGGAGGCGGCCACATTTCGTATCCCAGCCGAGGAGCGGCGCTGGTGTCGCGTTGAGATTGGCGGAGGGCACGGAGGAAGGAAAAAGGTAAGGAGAGGGCATGCCCAGCCGGCGCAGGGCGTAAAAAATGTGGCGGAAATGACATCATGGCAGCCATATTCACTAGGCACAATGGCGGCGTTGCTATGGTTACGTGTTGCGCAGTGGAGCTGGTTTAGCAGTGGGCGGCCGCGGCTGACGGCGACATGTGTGTCTCCCCAGGTCTCGTGCTGAGCCGTGGCGGACAATATCTGTGCTCTGCGCCGCGTTATTGGTTACGCAGTGTTCTCCTGGCTGTTACATTACTCTTAGCAACGTTTACAAATCACTTTGCCCATCACGGGTTTCAACAGTGCGTAGAACAAGTGCATATCCATGTGTCGTGTGGCGGATGATGCGGATGAAGCAGTTAGTGTTCAGCGAAATGGCGTTGGACACCATGACGAAGCTAAATGACGACGAACGCCTTGCAGGTCAGTGATGGTTGAGCAGTGCTCCTGCTTGTGACAACGGACGACGCTGTTGAGCCCAGCAAGACGCCGTGATGACCATGTGCACATACGTAGTTTCGTGTTGTGTGTGTACAGTAACAACTTGCATGTGCGTATTAAAACACCTTTTCTGTTCCGCGTGGTACACTCTCCGCCAGCATTGCATGTAATCTCAACGTAACAGCAACCACGTTCAACCTTCACTAGCACCGTGCTCAATGTCACCACGTCGCAGAATGCTGACGCAGGTGAGTTTCACGCGGAACACGGACACAGTGGCAGGACGCTGCGTCAGTCGCGTGGCGGAATGCAACCATAGAAGGCGCATGAACGATCGTGTTGTCTGTACAGTTGCTGAATTAATGACGTGAAAGCACTCGCCGTTGTCAGTGCATCTAGCGCGCGCTCTCTCGTAGTTGCTTCGTTGTCGGCGAGCTGTTACTCCCTGTTATTACTCGGACGAAGCGATTTCGCTGAAGGTGTCCTGCTGGCTCAGAGTGATGAGCTTAGTTCCATTGGTTTCGGATCGGCACGACACACGTGCTGCGCAGCCCACGTGCTTTCCGAGCCGGAGAGGGAGTCGCACCTTCTGCTTCGCATTCATATGTAAACAAGAGAGGAGAATTTGCCTATTCAATATGGCCGACTTCCGGCTTCATCGTGGCTTCACAACGAGTGACGTCAGGGCCTCTCCTTACCTTTCCTTCCTCCGTGGCGGAGGGCGACCGGCTGTCCGTGTCGCGTTGAGTCGCGGTGTTTACGGTGCATTCGTCCCTCGTTGTGTAGCAGTGTGGTGTCTTACGCGTTCATCATGTGCCATTGTCTTGTGGGCCGAGGCTAACACATCATTGCCATGCAGACCTGCAGCGCGCCCGGCTGTAGAAGTGGATACGGCTTGCAAGAGAAATCTGCTGTTCCGCGTCATTTCTTCAAATCGCCGAACGACCCTGAAGTGCTGAAGGCTTGAGCTGCTGTCATTCTTCGGAAAAATTTCAAGGTGACGACGAAGACCTGCATTTGCAATGTACATTTTGAACCTCATGACCTCGTCTCATGTTACGAGCACGTCATCTGCGGCAGCGCAGTTCAGAATCCGCGTGGCCAGGGGTGGTTCCCCGGATTTTCCCTAATATCCCGGTTCACTTGTCAAAACCGAAGACGCCGCCGAAAAGGAAACCTCCGAAAGCAAGACAAGCAGAGAATCCAGAGATTCGCTCTACCGAAGAAGAGGACGGCCTATGCTGCGACGACAAAGAAAACGGCGTTCCCGACGAGTCGTGGGTATCTTCCGATCCAGATTTGTGTTCCGAAGAAGGAATCTGGCTTCAAGCCTTCGAAGGACGCACAAAGTTTGAGTCTTGGGGTGTAGAGCTCAGAGCTGAGGACGTCGTTTTCTTCAAGATTGCTGAGAGCAGCGGCATTGTTGGTATTGACAGGGCCGTTGCTGTGAGAAAAGACTTCAGCGTGGCTGTGAGCTCAAGAGGAAAACTTGTTCCTTCGAGCGTGTACCGCGAACACGGTTCGGAAAACTTGCGGCGGCTCTCGAGCTTAAAGGGAGTGTCGGCATTCCTCAGCTATGTGGACAACCTGAAAGTGTGCACGGCATGCAGCTGTAGTTCATTTCCTTCTATTTTGGTGGCAATAAGTGCTGTAAAGACACAGGACGTGTGGAGGCACGTATATTGTTGTGGGCTGTCCCAGCGAAGCCTGTGCTCACAATGCAAGAGCACAAGAAAAAATCTCGGCCTTAGAAAAACGAAGCAGAGCAAAGAATGCAAAAGGACAAACCAAGCCTCACCGATTGGTTCGGTCAAGAGCGCAGAACCTAAAAAAAAAGGTTATCAGAGCCACAGTTTTCTGGGAAAGAGCGAAGAAAGAAATTCGTGCTTTGAAGGCACACCTGTCTAGGTTGACTAGTGGTGAAGTAGATAAAGCTATAGAGGTGCTTCCTGAAGCACAACAGCTCGCATTCCGTGCAGCGCTGAAAGCTTCAAAAGCAAAGTTAGCGAGAGGAAAGCGCTACGAAGCCGAATGGTTGATGACGTGCCTCCTTTTAACGATATCAAGCCCTTCTGCATATAGGCTAATGTCCAAGATGAACCTGTTGCCACTGTCCCACCTCTTCATGGCTAAAGCAAATAATCAAGGGAATGCCTTGTGAGTTCGCCTTTAATAAGGTTTTCGCTTGCAAGCATTGGTGCATTCATGCAACAAGAGCAAGGGGTCCGCTGCTATGGAACACTGATACTAGATGAGATGAAAGTGTGCCGGACTGTCAAATTCAACAAACAAACCTATAAGGTTGACGGTTATGTTGATTACGGGGATGATCAAGAGTCAACCACTGTTGCAGATCATGCCCTTGTCCTTATGTTTGCTCCCCTCTTTCATCCATGGGTACAACCGATTGCCAGTTTCGCTACAAAGAATGCTGCTTCAGGTAGAGTCCTGGCAAGAATGGTTCTGGAAGCCATCATACAGCTCCATAATCAAAATGCAACAGTTGTAGCTGTTATTAGTGATAGAGCAAGCACAAATAAGGCCATGCGTTCAGCCTTCGCCGTCATGGGCAAGTTCACACACCGGTGCACAAAACCAAACACCCATGCATTCCAGGCTAAAGTTTGTACTTCCTCTGTGACGTTCCCCACATCATCAAGTGCATTAGGAACCACCTCCTTCGCCACAAGTACGGTATGGTGAGTATGCCTTGTTTTTAATTTAAATTGCATCAACTGGTTTTGTGCGTACTCAAGATACTAATGACTTCAAATCTTTTCCTTGCAGATTGGTGAACACAAAGTCAACTTTGACCATTATCATGTACTGCAGGAAGTAGAGAGCAAGCAGCAGCTTCGTGTTGTTCCTAAACTTACAAAGGAGCATGTGGCCCCAGATAATCTGAGGAAAATGAACGTGGGGCTGGCTGTGCAGGTTGGTGCAGTTAGACAAGTCGGTGTTGCAGTTGCATTTTACATAAATTTTTATGCATGTCTACAACATGGTGCCTTGTTTTGTGCCCAACAGCTTTTCAGCCGCAGCACCGCAGTGGGCTTAAAGCTGTACAAGAGGCTTCAGCAGCCTGGACTGCAAAATTGTGATGACACAGTTTAGTTCACAACATTGGTGAATGCTGTTTTTGATGCTCTTAACGTGAAGCTCCCACGCTTTGCCACCCGAGATTTATCAAAAGAAACTGAGGTATGCAAAGAATACCCTCATAATCTGTCTAGGCACTCCTAATGAATATAAATGCTTTTTCTCTTCCAGGTCATTACAGAATTCCTTCGCCTTGTAAACGTGACTGAACAAAACCACATTACGAAAGGAACTGTCATGTTTGCCTCTCAAGTCACAATGGAGTCTCTCCGGGTAACCCTGGCATCTGTCCTAGACCTCATCAGAGATCTTTCCGAAGGAGCAGACTACGTTCTGACTGAAAAACTTAACCATGATCCCTTGGAGGTAACCAATGAGCGAGCTTTCTAAAATGTTACATATATGGTGTTGCAGGAAGAAAATTTTCGGGACTGTGCCTCTGAAACAGACGTCATACCATATTTTCAATGTCTTTCAGAGATTCTTCGGAGTCACCAGAACCTTCGGAGGGGATGAAGACCACTTGACAATTGTGAGCTTTTCACACATACACAAACTTCTAAGTCTGTACACCCCTATTAAGACTTGCATCGTTGGTAATGTTGTGCCAGAGCCAACTCTCGTGCTTGCTGCTGTCCAAGAAACGATGAAGGCAGGAAAGAAAGAACGGAAGGCAACACATGAACGGCTGCAAGATGACATCAAGTTGAAGCTGTTGGAGCTCTACAATTCTTCAAAGGCTGCTTCGGCCAAAAATTGCACTGCGCCAGACCATTCATACAGCACACCGACTGCACAAGATTGCGTTGTGTACTAGTTGTGTGGATATCTTGTGCACTCTTTCTTGAAGCATGAAAAGTGCGCAGCCTGCATCACTGAAATCCAGTCATCGCATACGCAGTGCCCTAAAGCTTTTCTGACACTGAAGAGAGAACTTAAGGAAGGATGCCTTAAATATCCATCATGGGCGCTTTTCAACATGTTTAGAGCCGTTGAAAGCAAGATCTCTTCTATGCTGCAAGAAAAGCAGCCTCTGCATGGACACCATCTGGGACATCCTGGATTCGCTCAAGTGCTGTGGTGTGCAAGGAGTTGGATGCTGTACACACAAAGACACTCTGACTGCTGAACTTCTGCAGATGTACATAGTGTTGCGCATGCATTTTGCAGCAAAACACGCTTGCAAACAGTTCACTGTCTGGTGGCTGTGTTGCATCTGTTCGAAAGAAGGTGAAGCTGATGTAGAGTGAAGGGGAACTGATGCCATTGGTAAACAAATGGTGCCATGGCGCTTTAAAGGGTGCTGCATGAAAATAAAGTTTGCAACCAGAAGATGTAACTGTACTGGCTATGCATTATACTTGTACATGTTTGTTTGTACCTCCTCCTTCACCACTACAAGCCTTTTTTTTTGCAGCGGTAAAAAACGTCTTATTTTAAAGTCAGGTAACTCCCTTCGTGAGGAAACTCTCAAGTAAATGCGGAGGTAAAATTATGCAAGTTTGTTATTAGTTAATTGGTGTATATAAAGCATGACCGGCTTTAAAAGTAGCCGGTTGCGGTGTAAAGCAAGGTATCATGCAAAGCCCAAGACCTAATCGCATGCGGCTTTGATGGACGGCGGTGGTGAATCTGATTCGACCAAAATAAAAAGGGTTATATCCTCCGCCAGAAGTGATTAGCCAAAAAAGAGCCCCCGAAATAATGAACACACAAATGCATAATTGACGGTTGTCAATATTATTGTAAATTGATATAATTATTTGAGAAACGAATAACAACATATAAAAGCGCAACAAAAGGTCTCCACATGATCGCAACCCCAACTAAAAGCCACATGCGTCTCTCATAATCATATAGTGGTTTTGGGACGTTAAACCCCACATATCAATCAATCAACTAAAAGCCACGAAATCTACTCCAATTTGGCTCCTCATAGCCAAATATCGGGTTGTAAAAATTCAAAATTAACATAAGCAGGAGAATATTGCTTAGATATGAGTAGAACGGTATCAAAATTGCCTTAACGGCTTCGCGTTGATTCAGATATGACTTTTTTGAACCGTTCAACGCGGAGCAGTAGCAGACGAACCTCGGAGAATCGACCTTAACTAAACTGTACCTTCGGAAAAGCACAGCATTCTCTTGATCTACGCCGCTTCCTCCTCTCCACGCCTCTGATAGTGCAGCTGCGGTCATGTGGTAGCGTGCTCCCCTTTTCTCGGTATTTCGTTTCCTTCGCCTCTCGGCGCCATGTTGAAGGCTCCAACGTGCCATTTGCTGTGTATTCGCCCGATGCGAAGTGCACGAATTGTGAAGCGCATGTGTGCGTCTCGCTCGTTTTGTCGCGATGCCGGGTTGCTGTGTGTTTGGCTGCCATAACCGTGACACCCAAGAGAAAAAGTTTTTTGTCATTCCGCGCGGAAAAGAGAATGCAGGTCGTCGCTAAGTCGGGCTCCACATAATAGGTTGAGTAAACTTCGAGCCGAGATCGGCGTGGCTTTGTGAGGCAAGTGCTCGTGCGTTTTTACTCTTGACAGGCACCTTGCTTTGCCGTGTGACATATGTGGTGTATTACTTATTCAATGTAACGGAAAAGTTTGTGGAATTTGTCATGCACCAAGACAGTCACTTGCTCGAGCAAGGGACTGTCTTGAACACCAGATGGTCGAAATTTCCGGAGCCCCCCAGTATGGCGTACCTCATAATCATGTCGCGGTTTGGCCCGCATATTATTAACTCTGTAAGAACTAGTGTCATGCACTGCAACACTAGGTTGTGTTTCACACATTCTACTAACCTTTCACTGTAATATGCGGATGAAAGGGCGAAGACAGAGCAAGCGTCAGAATGAAAATGCGATAGCAAAAAAAAAAAAACTGCGCGCAGAGTTCATCGAAGGCCGTGCATTTACGTGCAGCTCCTCCATCATACTGTGTAATTTCGCGAACCACTTCTGGGTGACAGTCAGAACTTTCTGCAAATTCGGAACATGGAGAGGCTTTATTTCAGAGGGACCGCGGCTCATCGGCCGACGTGTCATCATGAATTAGCACGTAAACATTCAGCGCATAAGTTTCAAAACGCTGCGGTAGTTGCAGCGAATGCCCCTTTAGATGCTACTACTAATGTAAAATAATTCCAGGTAGAACGCGCTTAGGGAGACGGCACATTCACTGTGTTGAAGAACTGTGCTGGTCGTTATATGCGGCCTCAACTTAGCAGAATGAAAGTTTTATGCAGACTTTTGCTTCATCTGTTTTCACAACATGACTAAAGATAATCCTTGTTACATGACAGTGTCTAGCACCTAGTTTTTCTCGTGCATGTGCTTACATTATATTTTGTGATATGTGGAGGCAATGTGGGAACATACGCATTTGCTGTCTTTGCAATAACCGTCTGGTGCTTTTGCTGTCTAAAGCACAAATGTTCAGTGCAGGCTACACTGTTTCATTGTCTGCCATTTTACCAAGTTCTTACTGCAAAAGAATGTCAGCCCACCGCATTTTATAACTCTGTGATATTCATTGTTAGTTCATGTTGCATCTTTGAATTTTTGCTCTGTCTTTTTTTTGTTGTTTCTCTTTTGCGGGGTCATGTTTAAGAATATGAAATTTTTTTGTAGTTTTTGTTTCATTTTTTGTGTAATAAGCCTAACTGACATATATCACCTGTGCTATACTTTCGCAAAACATTTCGTATTGCACAAAAGTACGGAAATAAAAACATGTTTCAGAAATGTATGCTCGTTAAGTGGAATTTTTATTCGAGCTGCAGCCACTGAAGATATCTGTTTGAAATTTGGCGCTTCAATAGAACGACGGGGTTATTGTCGTTGGTTTTAGCATATTGGTTTTAAAACTTTCTTCCCTCTTACTATTGGCAGAAAACATATGGTTTAATAACTTTATTTATTGTCAGTTAACATATAATGCATACGACAATGGGTGCAAGCTGTTCCGCACAGGACAAACATCCCAGAACGGCGCATGCGAGCACACGCCATTGGGCAGGCAGACAAAGGAGATAATAATGATACATGTTGTTTTACGAGTCCTCGATATGATTATGAGGCGCGCCGTAGGGCTCTGGAAAACTTGGCCATCTGGCGTTCTTTAACGTGCACTGACATCGCACAGTACGCGGGCCTTTAGCATTTCACCTCTATTGAATTGCCGGGACCGAACACGCGACCTTCGGGTCAACAGGTGAGCGCCGATACATCACCGCAGCGGGCAGGAGAAATAACATATGTGAAACGTCATGAAGTATTGATGGAACACTTTCATAGGAATTGCAGACATTGCTGAAGTTATGTATGATAGAGATAGTTCACACGAACTATTCCTTCCCAAACGGCGTGGCTTGACATCACAGCTGCCACGTAAATATTTCTTACCGATGCAATAAATAGCGCGTCGTGTTTACAGTATTTTATCTCAACCTTTTTTAAGTAAACCCAGTTACCGATATCCGCGCCAGATATACAAGAAAATGCTACGCTTCGAACCTTGAACGGCGTGCAGTTTGCTACAAATTGTACATCGTTTGCAGCTCTCCTGGCGCACTATAGAGAGTTAGATGGTGCGCACACCCACACCAACTGGGAAAATGAACGCAGAAATAAAAAGAATTATTACACACAGCCGTATGCGAGACATAGCACGCGGCCACGGCTGGACTAGAAAGGCTGTGAAAAAAGTGGCAGCGCCAGCCCGCAACCATCCTGAAAGCTTCACGCATCCACATGGAGCGTTCGAGGGGGTGCCACCGTCGCTCGCGAAAGGCGCGCAGGAGATGAGGCGGCGGAGGGGAGAGCAGTTTGCGCTACTTTTACGAAGTAGAGGGACTTTAACATTAACGCGACCACAGCGCCGCCGCTTCGCGTGATACGGGCTGAGGCCGTTTTCGTGGCATGGCGGGTGCGCACTCCTTCCCAACTGACCGAATCTAAAAACGTGGACTACATTGCACAACACGTAACCATAGATACGCTGCCACTTGTGACCAGTGAATATGGCCGCCATGATGTCATTTCCTTTACGATGGATGGATGCATTGATATGGCGGTACCCTTTCGATCAGGCGGTGGCTAACGCCACCAAGCCGTAATGCTTAGTGAACCAAAAACTAGATTTATTAATTTTTCTTTACATAGTGAGGTTGAGGACTCGTACTTTGCAGTGAAGGGTTTATTTTCACTCGTGCCTTGACTTTAGCCACCAATCAGATAACCTCCTTCTAATTAATTGTACCCGCTTAAAGTCTATTTTGCCCTCCCTGCCCCCAAACCCAAGTGCTTTGAAAAACTCTGTGCCATCATCGTGAACTATAGATTGAAGCCATTTACAGAACATTCTCAAGTGTTCGGCAGTTTCCTCCTCTTCTCCACACATACTGCATACCGTGTCTACCCCTTCGTATTTGGCCCGGTATGTCTTGGTTTGCCATACTCCCGTCCTGGCCTCAAACAATAGAGAACTACCCCAAGTATTGTCATAGATCCTTTCCTTGGTGATTTCCTGCTGAAAAGTTCGATAGATCTCTAATGCGGACTTTTTAATCATGCGATGCTCCACATATTGGTCTCAGCTTCCTTGACCTTCTTCTTAACCAATAATTGGTTTTGTTTGGTCCCCCTGCTGTTTTATAAGTATTTACGAGGCAAATTTCTGGTGCGCTTCCTCCATTTTCTATCAACATTTTTTATGTACAAGTAGCTGAATACCTTCCTAGCCCAACACTCCTCCCCCATTTCTCTCAATCGCTTCTCAAATTTTATCTTGCTGCTAGATTCCCTGCCCTCAAACGATGTCCATCCCACATCACCTTGTACTCCCTGATTTGGTGTATTCCCGTGAGCTCCTAAGGCATGCCTACCTTTTCCACGTTGCTTAATTTCTAATCTTGCTTGAACTTCTGATCTCATGCACAAGACCGCATTGCCGAACATCAGACCAGGAACCATGACCCATTCCCATATTCCTCGCACAACATCATACCTAATGTAATTCCACAATGCACTATTTTTCATCACTGCTGCATTCCTGTTACCTTTAGTCGTTACGTATATTTTCTGTTCCCTTAAGTACTCGGTCCCATTGCTTATCCATACGCCCAGATATTTGTATTTATCTGTTATTTCTAGCGTGACCTTCTGTATCCTAAGCTCACTTCCTTTATTATCAATTAAAAATCATGACTGATGATTTTTCCTTCCTGAATCTGAAATCAAACCTATCTCCCTCATTAACGCAGATGTCCATCAGTTTCCGCAAATCTTCCTTGTTGTCGGCCACTAGCCCCAAGTCATC